GAGGTTTTGTTGTTATTGTGTAACCGCGGTTTCCGTGAATGTGAGGCCATGCGAGTCTGTTTATATTGCTTATTTGCCATGTTTTGTATCATTAAAAAACTTTATTTTGATCAGATTTCAATTGCGTGATTATGCTATTTCAAACCAACTGGTGATCTAATTTCTCATGATCATAAAATGCCACATGCGCTAGCTTCTAGTTTGGATCTATTTATGAGTAATCTAGACATCTGCGTTCTACTGGAGGTTCCAGTTTATTTTGGTGCTTTAGAGATACCTACATATTTTTACAATTTGGGTGATGATTTATAAACACAAGTTTCTATCCTAAAACTTTGTTTTTTGGCTGACTTTTCAAAGGCGGAACCGTTAAAAAGCCCTCTGCCACGTCTGATTTGGTATTCAACGCACCATGAAGCTCAATCCAATGTCAACCCATTCTCCGCGGCAACAATACGCCCATCTCATCAATCGTGTTCATTCACAATTTTCGCATGTAACGTCATTGGGAAGGAAGGCGTAGTCCTAATAAAAATAAATTAGCTACAAAAAGCCTATTCACGAACATCAGTCACGTCCTCACCCCGAATTCCGATAGTCAGTCTCGAGTAGGTTGACTAAAGTAACGTAGTTTAGCTGCTATAAAACGTAACTTATAGCTCTTTTATCTGCAAAATGGTTCCTCACTGTTGACTGACGAATATTATGGATATTATAATCTAGTACTTTGACAGGGTAAATGACAGCGCTTTCAGATTTAGGTATTCAATAGAATTTTACTGCGACCAACCTCACATTTTTTATGAATAGCTAGAATAGAAGACTTCTAACTAAACCTACCTACTAACATCAAATTACAGACACAGAAAGAACCGTCACGTGTGCAGGTAATTGAAACCGGGCTTCCTATTTTCACATAATAATTACGTTCGTGTGAAATGGAGTAGGGAAACGTTTCACAACAGTCAGGTGACTCGAACGAGGATGTTCATCCTGGCTCAGGGCTGTAATTGATTCGCGTAATGTTATAGGGCTTAATCTTCCGGGCCTTTCCGATCCGACAGACTCCGCGTAATCTATTGGGGATATTTCAATTTACTTCGTCTAACATTAATTCTCTACCGGGAGAATGAAAAACGAATTACGTTAGTGCAGTCCGCCTTTGAACTTTGTTATCAATTCAAAAATGACTTCTTTATGCAAAGCCATGTGTTTTGCCTGCCATTCAGTTTGCCGACTCCCGAGTCCGACTGTATGTAGATTGTAGGTATCATAAAGACATGATTATTTTTACCAGGGAGGTAATTTCTGGCAACTATACTGTCTAAATTCTACGATTTAGATCTCTATTTGGTTAAGCAAATCATTATGAATTCAAAGTGATACTTCATTCAATGTTTTGTAATACTCCTTGTCAATATGATTTCAAAATTCTTGTAACTTTTAAAGTGCGCATTAATTGTAATCATTAAACTCAATGATTAAAAAACTAAAGCTACATGGAACCGCTTTAGGAGCTACATCATCTAGTGGTGGTGCTTTACAGCTATGCTGATCATTAGAATAGGGAAGTCTTAAGACCGTAATAGAAGGCAACGTAAATCGATAATCATAAGCAACTGCCAGACAGGCAATTCAAGCTGTTCTTGCAGCTAGCACGCTGGTGGTAGCGAGAGGTCGGCTGTCCCCATTCGCACGGGTTGCGTGTCGGTGTGACGACAGCCGATACGAGAGGCGCGCGGTGTTCGGTTATAAATGGAATGCCATCGAAAGTGTCTTTTGTCTTTACGTTTGTCGAGAAAGGAGGATTTGAAAGGCTTCTGTTCTGATGAAGGACACAGAAGAATTACAGGAAGATCCAATTGCAGTCATATTGTTTATTACCTTTGACTAATGCTATTCTTAACGCCAATCGTTGAAAACCTACCTATACTTTCTCCATTTTTCGTCCAAAATCATAAAAATAACCTTTTATTATGGCTACCGAGTCCGTGTTGGAACAAATGAAATAGTGTCCGACCGAAACTAGTTTTACGACCGAAACCGAAACCGAAAACGAATTTCGGCAACGGTGTCTATTTCGGCCGAAACCGAAACCGAAACCGAAACTTCCTTACAAGGCTCATATTTTGAATTTGAATTTAAATTGCATTAAAATTTAACTTATAAAGCGCCTTTTTACTCTAAAAGGTGTCAAATTATGTATTAAAAAAGAAAAAGAAGGATTTATAGTCTACATTTTTTTTAATTACTCGCATTATTCAGGACATCTACATAACCCGTCCCATGGTCGGGTCTTTTACCTTAATAATTTCTCAAAACAAAATTGGTAGTACGTAAGTTAGTATCTACTGTCGGTACCTACTGCCACTACTGCCACTTGGATACCTTGGTGATAAATACTAAAATGAACTTTGAAACTCTGAATCCATAATATTATCACCATGAAATGCACTATAGTCATTACTATTACTAACTACCTAACTAATGTTTGTTTACGTATAGCATTTGCGAACCAAAAAAAAATTATTGGTTAGATTAAACTTGATTATACTTTTATCAGTCATATTGAATATTTTTTTTTATGTTTACTACCCGCTCTTATGTTATAACGACATAAAACGAGATAAAACTTACCAAATTCAAAACAAATCACTCGAAAACTCGCCACCGCAACAAAACTAACAGCAAACAAACAAGCGAGCGAATCACGACATTGACTCTGAATGGATTCATAATCATCATCATCATCAAAATCTGTAATACAGATTTTCTTAAAATCTACAATAGGCACCAGCTTTTACAATGATAATCTAATATATCTGTTAAAGATATATTATACGAAATGTTTTTCCTAATATGTTGTGAGAGAAATAAATAAATAAATAATTCACTCATTCAACGCGCCGAACATGACCGATAACAGCGCGGAAACTCCCGAATGCACATTCGGTTTCGGTCGTAGTTTCGGCAAGTTTGCCGCCGAAAACGAAACTACACCGAAACTCGTGTTTTTACCGAAACTCAACCGAAAACGAAACCGAAACCGAACATTCGGTCGGACACTAAAATGAAACATTAATTTCTTCACGTGATTTCCCAAAGGGTGAAGTGGATTGCCCGACTTTAAAATATCACTCGTTCCAGTTATTTAGCGAAATATTTAACGAACTCTGGGCACCAGTAGCTTCGCTCCTGACCTTTACTTATTTAACAATACGACTAGGTACATCGCTAAACGTGTCCATATCATCATGATATCACGCAATCCTCATGAGTACCTATGCGCGAGCGATATTTTTAATAATTGTAACAGCTTTAGTGCGGTTACTCACTGTATCCCGTAAAAATCCGTAAATGTCCGAAAAGAGCAGTGTTACCACATAGGTACTATTTCATCTACTAACCCATATTTGCCTATATTCATTGGCTTCCTTAACAAACTGTTATCAGCTCATCGTCTATCAGTTCTTCAACCTATCTTGCCTATCCGACTTCGATGGGCTACGTGCTTATCATGCGAAAAACCACCTAGTTCTTGTATTTTTAAAACACCTACTGAATTTAATCTAAAAGATAGGTTCTGGATTCACTTCGACACGTGCACGTCACTTATTTATTACCTAAGTCCTATCTGTTTTCTCATAGGATTTGCCGAGATATTTAAGATACGAGATAGAGTTAAGATAACAATACCCGCGAACAATGTATGTAATTAGTAATTATTGCATAACAAGCAGTAAACTTCCACAGATATGAATAATAAATTATTTTATTCACTCGTTACTTATTAGTGCGATTACCATGCATGCAATGCTGTATTTATCATTCAATGGTATTGCTATTTTAAGTGATTTACCAATCACCTGTTATTATAAAGTATCATCATCATATTTTCCGGAATTTTATACTTCATCTTGACTTATAATTTATTTAGCCATGTTCTCAAGGAGAACTTGAACATTGTTTCATTTTTTTTTATCCACAACGAGGAAGCTCTTGGCCTGTATCTCACCTGATGGTAAGTGATGATCAGGCCGAAGGTGGACGTGAGCTTCACCCGAAGTCCTCAACCACAGAGGAATTGGCTATCTTACCTTTAACTACCGAAACACAACAATGCTGTTAACATTGTTGTAATGGTGACAAACTTAGGTAAGATGGTGGTAGCTAGCCAGGCGGACTTGAAACAAGCCCTACCACCAACCAAACTGAACAGAAAATTCTGCCCCTACTGGGAATCGAACCCGGGACCTCTGCGTCTGAAGCAGGTGGTCTAACCACTAGACCACAGAGGCGATTGTCAGATCATCGGAAGTTATTTATCATAGTAATTTATCATATCATGGGCTTATTACAAAAGATGCACACTCCAGCATCTATCGAAAGTAATCAACAATATCACGGTAAGTTAGGGAAATGGTACTTTCTATCTACCGTTTAGCTTTAAAAAAGAAAACCTATTACCCCCAAACCCCGAAATAAAACACAAAAACTCTGTGTACGTTATTATTCCAGCCATTGTATAGGTACCCACCAAATAGCCGGAGGGCGATTTTTCTCGTTAGTATCTGCCACAGACAGTGCTTTCCTTTTCAAAGCTACTCTCTAATTGTGGTTGTTCTACACAGTTTTTATTGTCATCTACCATACCTTTTTGTGTAATTAAGCTCTAGGACATTTCTAGCTCTTGTATTTTATCAACAAGTTGTTAAACCAATTATGTACAGTCAAAACACTCTTCAGACTTGTAGGGACACATTGTATTTTGTTGAGTGGAGTATCAAATCTTTATTAGCACCAGCAACAGTGGACCTACCACCAATACAATAATACGAATTCCATAAATTACATGATTTCATCCTGCTTTTGCTAATGTTAATAATAATAATAATTACTTACCTACTAAAACTGTTCCATATAAAATTTGTAAACACTAACAACATAATAATACTTTCATTTTAAACAATGTTCTCATTCGATATTTTTCTTGTCTCCAGCCAAACCAAGGAGAGGACAATCAGGTAGTTTGTCATACAAATCAGTAGTTGTGTGATTTGTTGTCTGTCACGTTCATTTGTGTCTCATCCATCCATCATTAGACTCCCTCATTGGTTTATTACGGTCATTCATATTAATAGTGTATTGGTCTTATCATTGTGGTTTGGTTTTGTGTATGTTGTGTTGGGAACTTACGTGTTTTGTTTGTACCTACTAATGTATTTCTGTTTGTGAAGTCTAATTTTAGTCTTAATAAACTGGTCACTTTTATAATTAAGTAGAGGTCATTAATATTCATTACTTCATGTTTATTTTTAGATTATTATTCTAAAACTTTCAATATTAATTTGATAATTTTATACTCTCATCATGTTTTTATTACTTTTAATCATCAATTATGATTTAAGCACAAGTAGAACGAGGCTGATTTTTCAAGATTGTCAGAAAACTCCCAATAACTTTTAAAAGTAACTGTAGAAAGATTTTCATATTTGACAGTTTTTACATAAAAATATCAAATTGTCAATTGATTCTTGAGAATATTATCTCGACATTGAAAAATCGGCCACAAATTAATCATTCACGATTCACAATTAGGTCGCTCAATTCGGGACGGCCAGGCGCCATGTCTACATCGGTTAGAAATATGTCTGAAGTGTCATTATGTCGTCTATACCAGCTGTTCCGAATTAGCGGCCTAACTCAAGAATATTCTAGTCTAGAAAAATCCATTAACTCGCTATTGTAGTCTAAACTTCTAGAAAAATCCACCATTAACGTTGTATTGTCTCTCGATAGTTGTTCACGGGGACTGTCACTCACCACCTCCATGAAGTCCGGCGCTCCAACCCGCCCGACTCAGGCTTCTCGGAGCCTGTCAACAACAACATCAGCGAGGACAACAACAATGGCCCAATCTCGCTGCGGGAGATGCAGAACATTGCCAACAACAACGCGACAGCGTACATTGTCAGCGAGAATGAGGAGCGGAACAGAATCAGTCGAGAGTCTGTTGTTGAGTTCGAACCGCTGCCGACGGGGATACGAGTGGCGGACCCTCTGGAGCCTTATGCGGACTGGTTCGGTGAGTAATTAATAAATAAGAAACGAAGCATTCCCCAAACAACGTGGCCGCGTTCATCGTCCGTGAGAACGAGGAGCGGAACAGAATTAGTCGAGAGTCTGTTGTTGAGTTCGAACCGCTGCCGACTGGGATACGAGTGGCGGACCCTCTGGAGCCTTATACGGACTGGTTCGGTGAGTGATTGACAAAATGATTAAACATTTCCCAAATTACGGGACCGCGTACATCGTCAGCGAGAACGAAGAGCGGAACAGAATTAGTCGAGAGCCTGTTATTGAGTTCGAACCGCTGCCGACTGGGATACGAGTGGCGGACCCTCTGGAGCCTTATGCGGACTGGTTTGGTGAGTAATTGATGGTAAAACATTAAATGTAGTTCAACATTTCCAGTTCAGGTAGGACAAAACAACAGCGCACAGCGGCAAATAATAAGCAGCACATCCTTTGGTGATTTCAAGGACGAAAAAGCAGAAGCACCACTGACCTACTGCCTAATTTCGAGTAGGTACCTATGCGCCGCACGTCCTAATAGATTTTCAAATCGTTTTGTGTGATGATTACCAGTTTTGTTAGGATTAGGTTTGCATTTTGCACTTAAAACCCCTGTTATAAAACAGTTAAAGCAAATTAAGCTTATCATAAGAGCTGTTAATAAGTTAAGAATGGAGGGATAAAATGTTATGTCCTTACATAAAATAACCATAAGTAAATACACGATAAAGCTAGGTAGTTTAGTTTCTAGTATTCCTTTTAGATACAACAAATCAGTTGCTCAACTAATCGAAACTCGTTTCGTCTGACCCGATGTTCGGTCCCCAATTAGTCAATATTGGCTGTCTAGGCCGTCACACGTTATTATGCTTATATGTACTTACGAATATTCATTTTTGTATGTTTTACAGGTGGAGAAGATTTCTCTAGAAACCGATTGCAGTACCTAAGGGAAATAGGGCGAGGATGGTTTGGCAGGGTACGATATATTTTCATTACATTTCTCGATTTTAATAAAAGTTAAACAGCGCACTAGTGGTAGTATGTAGATATTTTGCTCTTATTTGACTCATTGACTGCAAACTAACAACATTTTCTTAGAACGAGAACAGCGTCATTTATACATAGTTCAAACACTATTACATACCAACAAGGAAATTATAGTAACACAAGTTTAATACAATCATCGTATTTTTGGAATAAATAAATAGGTCACGTCAATTTCTCAAAGGTAATTTTGACAGTCCAATATAACTTATAGAGATCGGTTATGTTTATCTACTACTAGCTGACCCGGCGAACTTTGTTCCGCCTTAATGGCAATAAATAAGCAGACTTTTTTTATTTCGAACGGGATAAAAAGTATCCTATGTCCTTCTCCTGGCTCTAAACTACCTCTCTGACAATTTTCAGCTAAATCGGTTCAGCCGTTCTTGAGTTATAAGTGGAGTAACTAACACGACTTTCTTTTATATACAGTGTGAGTCACGTTAAAGTGTACATATGAAAATATATGAAACTAGACCTATTTTTATCGACAAAAAAGAGGTCAAAAAATTTTTGAGATTTTTTTTTAATTTTTTATAGAATTTTTTTTCTTCCAATTACTTATTGTAAAGAAAACGTAATAACTTTTAAACTAAGCGGTATATCCTGATAAAATAAAAACAGTAATAATGCTAAATAATAGGTGATACTAAAAAAATACATAAAATACCCTCAAAATGCCAACAAATAATAAAAAAAGATACTTTTTGAAAAAAATCTNTAGATATAAAAATAAGTCGGGTTTTCCTTCCTGACGCTATAACTCCAGAACGCACGAACCGATTTCCACGATTTTTCATTCGTTGGAAAGGTCTCGGGCTGCGTGAGGTTTATAGCAAAGAAAATTCAGGAAAAATAAAACGGGATCCACGCGTACGAAGTCGCGGGAGGCCGCTAGTTTATTTTTATAACTCAAGATTTGAAAGTAAATTAATATGTGTTATATTTTATATACCTCAGGTAGTAGAAGGCGAGATAGAAGACAATGGTTCGACGAGTACAGTCGCGGTCAAAATACTCAACCAGAACGCGTCCTTGGAAGACAAGGCGCGATTCCTGGAAGAGGCGCGAGTGTACCGCGACGTGAGCCACGAGAACATACTCGCGTTCGTCGACAAGTGCTTGCAGGAGGACCCCTGGATACTGATATTCGAGTTCTGTTCTGTGGTAAGTACACCTTAATCCCTTGTAAAAGGACAAACCAGTACAGTCACGGTCACAATACTCAACCAGAACGATTCCAGAGTAGCGAGAGTGTACCGCGATCGAAATGCAATCTCTTTTGAAACAAGTTGATCGATCTGAAATATATTTATAGCAGGATAATAAATAACCTCATGACTCAGAAAAATACTAAGCAAATCGTAAACATCATACTACGTAAGTTGTCGCCTTTGACCTCTGATAGCAGATATTTGACGTTGAGCTATGTGTCATATCGATATGACTTGTTTGTGAAAGCTCTTATCTACTTATGAATGTAGGAAAGAAGTGACTCGTTATCAATGAAAAGTTCTCGGGGGATTTTCACTGTTATTGCAGCCCTGGCTTAGGCCCAGTTTTTTTATTCATGGTTAAAATAACTAATTGTTAAATTTTGCTACTAATGGTTAAATATTAACAAAATGTAAACTAAAAGTTAAAAAATGTACTAAGTGAAGCTAACCATTGTTCGAAAAACATTTTTTTCTGATATTTAACCACTTGTCATTTCTTCTTCTTCTTATGCGTTACGCTCTTGGCAGAGCGGTCGTGGTCACGTTGAGGCGTTGTTCACATCGGTTGTAGAGGCGGATACAACTCTCCGCACGATCACTTGTCATTTGACATATGTCACGAACTACGAATAAAAAAACCGGGCCTTATATGTTCCGTTCCATTGCATACTACACAACACCTTCCAGTAAAGTCCTCAACTTATATGTAAATCTAAGATCCAAATCTTGCCATAGAGTGTTAATTTGTTCGAAAATAGCATTCACCTACTAATGATTGACTATTTCTCTGTCCCCAGGATCTGCAACAGTATCTGATAGTGAACCGGCACAAGATGGCGTCGCTGAACGAGGGCGGCGTCCCGCTCCGGCTGATGTGCGACGTGGCCTCTGCGCTCGCGCATCTCCACTCCAGAGGACACCTATACGGGTATGTATGGTTTGAAATTAATATTATATAGCCTGACCAGGAACATAAAAACCCTGGCATAGAGGCGCGTCAATTGCATTTGATAGTGCAACACTGAGTACAGTCGTACCTGTGTTAAATTAATAGGCTAACTTTATGTATCAGGATTCTGGATTACGGGCTAATTTGATATTTTCATAAATTTACGAAAAAATATTATTATAGGTAACCTGGTTTAAATAAATTAAATGAAACCATCAATCGAGTTAGTAGGAATTATTTTATTATTCGTCAATAATCAAATTCAGAACTTGAATATTCAACTGCAATGTCTGCTCAGCTCATGAACGCTTCAAACTCGGTACTTCTTTCCCAATTCCATAAAATTCAAAACTAAGGCCCAGTTTTTTGATTCATAGTTAAAATAACAAATTGTTAAATTTTGCTACTAATGGTTAAATATTAACAAAATGTTAACTAATAGTTAAAAAATGTATTAAAAGTCGAGCTAACCATTGTTCGAAAAACATTTTTTTCTGATATTTAACCACTTGTCATTTGACATCTGTCAAATTTGACCATTGGTTATTTTAACTACGAATCAAAAAACCGGGCCTTAGAAAGTGACAAAAAACTTTAAAATAGGTAGTTGAAACAAACCACAGCTAATTTTCATAGTGGACTGTACTATACGATAAACATGTCAGTCAATTTGACAACCTTTGTCGGAAACATTATTCAATGAAAATATTGTCCGAACCCTTAGTATTTCTCTTCGACAAATACTTTAACACATTGTGAACCACTTTTCTTTCACGACTATAAAAATATTTTAGCAATTTAATTCACAAAATCAATTGCGCACATTTAAAATAAAGTTTGTTTACACTTTGACAGCAATAGACTGACATGCAAGGTGACATGTCAATGAAGTTTTCAGTTACTGTTGCCATTAAAAGAAATTAGTACCATTAGTTTTCCGCAACATGGCGAGGGTTTTTATGTTCCTGGTCAGGCTATACTTTGTACTTCTCTAAAGACTTGGTTAAATTGGTTGCGAGTTCTAATATAGACGACCTCCTAGGTTCTGCTGTTGTTGGGTTTCATCAGCAGCGATCGAGAGGTGGGGAGGTGGGAATCAGTCAGTATACTACACTATACTATAGTACATAATATTGTGTACTAACGATCAGACAACGCTCTGCAACAACTTTCCTAAGACACCGAAGCAATCAGTCATTTTGTATTATTGGGATGTCAACTTTTTTGAGAATTTAATATTGGTAGAAAAAGTTTCATTTGAGACAGTAGTATCAACTTTTGATCAAGTATAAAAACGTCAGGTGCGCTGTGCTTGTCTGATATTTTAAATCTCGCCTTATCTCGTTGCGCGGGGTTGACTTTCCCAATCATGCGCCGCCATTTAGTTCTATCTTGAACGCCTTGTTCGGGGAGTCCCAATACTTGTCCTTTTGGGCATTCGTCATCCAGGTGGTTATTTATTGTCCAGGAATCGATTACGATATCACTAGCGAGCGCGCACATCACTACGGTTGAATCTGCCAGGTTAACGGTTGCGATCGCGCCCGGCGATAACCGCACTTGACTACCATTCATCTTACCGCGATTATCAAATATCTTGTTTTGTAATACGTTATTTCATGCTAAAAAGTGCTTTTTAAAAGCCTATTTGCAGAAATAAATTCACACATTTACGGGGGGCACATAGCTCGTAGAGACGATGGCCGTTGGGGCAGGAAAGTTCTCGAGTGGCGACCACGGGCTGGAAGACGTAGCGTGGGCAGGCCTCCTACTAGGTGGACCGACGATCTGGTGAAGGTCGCGGGAAGAGCCTGGATGCGGGCAGCGCAGGACCGTTCATTGTGGAAAACCTTGGGGGAGGCCTTTGTCCAGCAGTGGACGTCATTTGGCTGAAAACGGGATGAGTTTTTTATAAACGCTGAGTATCGAAGGAACCTAGTCACATCCATCTACATTTGTTTTTATGTGTGGACTATGATTCGCAGCACCATCTGGAGCGGGTCTGTGCTAGTGCGCGGCGAAGGCGAGGCCGCGCGCGCCGTGCTGGGCCGCTACGCGCCCGCGCCGCCGCCGCCCGACCTGCAGCCGCCTGAGGCTAGCCGCCCGGCTTTTGTGCACACGGTAAGATGGCTCGGACGCTATAGCTAAAGCCTGGTCCGTGAGCACGTAGAATTTTGTCCAATGACCCCAAGCTACCCATCCTTATCGCTCGCGTGTAATTTATATTGCTGTCGCGACTGTGCGACGGGCGCCCGCAGTGAGTGTGCGAGCGCGACAGCAACATAATAGACAGTTTGACACCATACCCCAATAATTCGAAACCACAACTTTTTTTACAAGACCCTTCATTCTGGTCGTAAAAACTTAATTTATTTTAAATTATCTGTAAATTACGATTTTTGTTCGCATTGTAATTGAAAAAAGTAGTTTGATTGAGTTGACAAAATAGTGACGTCACTTGCTTGTAGTGCCATACAAAATCTATGGGAGAGTTTCATTTTGACAGTTTTAAAAAGTACGTCAGTTGATTGGTGGTGTCAACATGTCTATTACGCGCGAGCGATAAGGATGGGTAGCTTGGGGTCATTGGACAAAATTCTACGTGCTCACGGACCAGGCTTTATTCAAAAGATTTACATTTATTTACAACCCGATCGAACTGCGCACCTCCCTGGAAGGAATGCGTCTCTCCGTCCCACTTATCAGCACACCTCCCCGCGTTCGCCCAGAGCGTCGATTTGACTTCACGGCTGCCAGGTTCGCGGCTGAACCATTTAAGAACCTAGTAAGTGCAGCGGAGCAAATTTTACAGGAGAGCGAAAAAACGCATTTTCATTTGCCCTGCTAAAATGCTTAAAGATTTGGATAACTTCCGATGTTTATATTAAAGATTAGTTACTAAAGTATACTTTATGGAATAAAAGAATATATTTAGTTGAAAATTGCAAGTTTTATGCTCTTTACTAACACTAAAAATTATTTTTTTGACAAAAGTGCCTCGTAAAAATCTAAATCAAAATCGAATATGAATCAGTACTCATGTAGTGCCCAGATTTTGATATGGTTATCGAGTGTCAGCCAACAGAACTCGAAATAATATTTAAATTACAGTAGCATTTTACCTCTAGTAAGTCTCATTGACCATTTTGAAACCTAGTAAGTCCATGCACTTACTAGGTTTTAAATGGTCATTGTAACTTGCTAGGTTTTGATAATGGTTTTTGCAGATTTGAATTGGACTTACTAGGTTTTTAGCAACGCGTTTCTCCGGTGTTAAGTGTAATAGAGCGATTTCTGTCTTCACATCCTGTGGAGACCTTAATTCTAAGGTGATTTATGACAAAAAACGAAAATCTGAAAAAGTGTCCCTTACTAGGTTCTTAAATGGTTCAGCCGCGCAGTTAACTAACCGCGTTGCAAGACTTGATTACGCTAGAGTACAAATGGTATATACACTTGCGAGCAAAAGTATGGAATCACTTACATGAAGTTGTTTCCACGCGATCTTGTGTACAAACCAATTTGTTAGTAACAAAAAAAGTAGCACCATTTTAAAGATTAAACTTTTAACTTTAAATTGATACCAAATTCATTTAAATCACACCAGTATTTAAAAAGATATCCCGGCTGATGTAAAGAAGTAAGGAAAAAGACATGTATCAACTGTTTGATACGTCGCGAGTTGCGGCCTATTTACCCCCCATAAAAGCAAATGTTTTCGGATTTTTGCTTTCACACGTTGATCCATACACATCTCCGCTTCTTTTGACACTTAACCTGGGATTCTACACCTTCAGAAGCAGCACAAATCTTCACACACACCCACCATCTTTCTGAGAGCCCCCATTGTTGGCGCCAGCAGTACCATATCATCAGCGTAGCTTATGTTGTTGATACAAACACCATCTACCCAGCATCCGATACGCATACTGCTAAGGGCAACAATGAGGTCATTTACGTATAGGTTGAAAAGCCTGGGAGACGTCAGCCCACCCTGTCTCACCCCGCACTGCAACCCATACTCCTCAGAAAAAACGTTAGCCCATCTTACGCTGTTAATCTGGTTAGCATACTAATAATGGAATATTTGTGATACTTCTGACGGGACGCCCTGCCTCCTCATCTTATCCCAAAGGATGTCATAAGACACAAGATCGAACGCCTTGGAGAGGTCGAGGAAGCATGCGTAAATGGAAGTCCCCTGATCCGTGTAGTACCTGACAGTGTGCTTAAGACTAAGGATGGCGCTCTCGGTCGACAGTCCAGGCTTAAACCCGAATTGAGCATTATGTGATTTTAAATATTTATCTAGTAGAGAGTCAAGCACACTGTCAAGGACCTTTGCCGTGATTGTAGCTAGAGAGATCGGTCGGGTATTAGCATGGTCTATCATACAAGGTAGGTATTAAAGTGCTACAGTTCTGGGGACGTTTTGTCCCATTGTTCTTTAAGCTTTGTTTTTAAATGAGAAGGTTTTTTATTAGTTTACGAAAAGACGTTTTTTTATTCATTTCTTGTATGTTGACTATTGTGTAAGTCTAAGTAAGAGTACCTAGGCATATTTTTCAATCAAAATCCTCATTGGTGTAAATATATATTTTTTCTGATTCTGAATAATATTAGGAACGTAAAAAAAAATTAACTAATGTCCGTATTGTTACAAATTCAATAAATTCATTAAAATATTGAATACATTTATTTTTATTTTCAACCCATTCTTTAATAGGTAGGTACGTGCTTAGCTAGGAAAATAACATAGATAAAATTGGTGTTTAGCTAAACAATTATATTTAAATTTTAGTTTTTAAGTAATTTCAATTTAATGTATTACTATAAAATATATTTCGTCATCACCATTAACATAAGATCATTACCATTTTAATAAAATCATTACCATTAGGAAAACGTCATTACCATTTTGTGAAAAAATATTTGGACGCTTGTTACTTCTAAAATCACGATTGAATCTAAGGGCCTCACACTGATCTAAAAAGCTTATTGCTTAACCTTTCAGTTTAAGCTAGTTTGCACGCATCCCTGTTAAGTTTTTCAAAAAACGTAAAATAAATCCCGCGGAATAAAATCGGCGGATCTACCCTCTACACAATCAACAAAAACATCCACAACATTCAACAAAATTGCCTACAAAAAGTGTTGAATGTTGACAAGTTTTTCTTGATTGTGTAGAGTAAAACACGCTGGACACCCGGCTTAATATTAGCTTGTTGTGTCGATGCAGGATAAACAAAACACTTGCATCGTACCTTCAAAGCATTACAGCGTTTAAAGTATACAATAATAAGCAGGTTTTCCTTAATAAATTCAAGGAACATCCTTAAATTATAACCCGTCGTCTTACGCTCGATACGCATCGGTCTGCCCTGCCCAATCTTGATCAAAGGGCATCCCTGGGTTAACCGTAACCCGACGCGGCGCCCCGCGGTGGGTCACTGTGACCCAGGGTCAGGTGTACCTCTTTTTGCAATGTCACATCATATTTACGACGCTGCTCGGCGGTACATGGAATTGTTGGCCATGGAAAGTTAAGATATTGGTCTAATTAAATGTTTTATTTAATAATAACTCAAATAACTAACTTCTATTTAACAAATCGTCTCTATGTAAAGCTTTACGCAGAAAAAAGTTCTAATTTATGTATTATACCGATCTATATTTTTAGAGCTGTATGTTTCTTTACATAAACATGGAAATGAATAAGAATGAAGTCAATAAAACAACGTTCTTCTTTATTTCTCATTAACGTTTGATAGAAGTTTGACCGTATTGATTAAATAAATTTATTTTCATGAGTTTTTTTTTTAATATAAAAAATAAGTAAAATTAATATAATTACTTTTACATTCAGTCTACGAGCAACAGCTTGTTTGAAAAACAATATAATTACGAGAGTATTTGTCTTTCAGAAGGATATATTATTATTATACTCAAGTTACGACTATCTGTAAAACATTCATTGCCCAAGCAAACCCACTGCAATAAACTAACAACATAAACTCACATGAAAATATGATCATTACAACGTATTTTTGAAGGGAATCACATTTCAAATACACGGCTATCTCAGTCCATGACATTCTAATACATCTCACACTATCTTTAAAGATAAACCGTTTCCATGATATTGAGTTATCATAAATTATGTGACGCAATTACTGGCTATGTATTAGCGGAATCTATGGACGGACTGGGTTGTAAATTGTGCCCTTAAAGAATTACTGGAGTTGCGGCTTGATCAGCCACTGGTTCCCAACAAGAAAAAGGACACGACTAGTATAAATGGGTGGACTTTGTCTTTCTGGCGAGGAGAGCCCCACATAACTCATTGGTCCCCCGAGCTGGTGCCAGTTTCATGCATTTTCCAGTTGTACAGAAAAAAACTGATTTAGAACGCTTAGTCAGTCACAATGAGGTCACAATCAAAACGAAAACACATCCGATTTAAATGTCTCAAAGTGTGTCTCATTTTACTTAGAAATGTAATCTAATGTGTAGAATAGAGGAAGAATTCTTTCCCTAGACGCGACGTTATAAAAAGCTATTAAGAAACAAACAATCTAACATCCGGCTTTTGCCCAACCCGCCTGACCAGCGTGGGCAGTGTACGCCAAATGCTCTGTCAATAATTTAAAATATCAAAACTATTGTAGTGAACCCCTCTCTTAACATAGACATAATTCTATATACAGTGTGAGTCACGTTAAAGTGTACATATGAAAATAGATGAAACTAGACCTATTTTTATCGACAAAAAAGAGGTCAAAAAATTTTTGCTATGATCGTTTGAACAAAGGCCTGCCACAACATTATTCTCCGCTACAGTTAGAGACAATTTTAATTTTAACTAAAATGCTTATTTTACTTCGAAATCTTTTGTTTTTATTTGAAATCTAACTTGTCTTTATCAAAATAACAAATCTAGAGCCATTTTCAGTTTCGTTGTTAACGAAGCGTTGAATGGCGCGCCCGGAGAGGCTTAGTTCAAACGATCATTGCAAACGTTGTGCCGCCATTGATTCTTTTTCTAATTTTACTTAATATGCTTAAAGTTTCACCACTAATACTGTGAACTAACTACTCGTAGAATAGTATTTGAAAGTTTG